TTTTTCGGTGAACACACTGATATATTGTTGTAAATACTAAGGTTTAACACAAAAATATTTTAGAAACTGATACCTTCGGTGTTCAGTGAACACTGGCACCGATATTTTCAGTGGCACGGTGAGCACCGAACACAAGTGTCAGTGAAAATCGTTCTCAGTGGAATTCGGTGCTCAGTAAACCGACACTGCACATCCCTAGCCATCTGTTAACAATAAAAACAAATACAAAGTAGAAATTTATATCTATTGAAATGCGATGAATACTTTTGAGAGCACAAACTTGAAACATAAAAGCTTCGAATAGTATTCATATAAGCAATCAACGATAGTATATTATCAATTAAAAAATGTTGAATGATTATCTTTATGAAATTTAAAGTTAAATAATTCAAGTAATAATCAGTGAACAATTTTTTCAAAGGCGTTTTTTATATATTTTCATAAGCATACTTTCATGCAATAAGCAAAAAAAATTAAGAAATAAGAGGAAAGAAATTTAGAACAACTTGAAAACATAAGTATGCAATTTTCTACATAACCATGAAAGAAATAATAACAATAAATTGAATATTCAAGAAAAATAAACTATGCATCACATCTGACAAATCTTGCCTTCTTTTTTTTATGAACAATTTTAATTATAATATCAATTACGAAAAAAAACTCTTATTTCGATAAGATATTGAATGTATATATTTTCACATTTGTACCATTTCTCTTTGTATGGAATATCTGTATAGTATCGAATAAAGTATTAAATAGATATCATTGTCGCTGTTTCCATTTCTCCTTAATGTATTGTTCTTGCGGGGTTGAACCATTTCTCGTCAAAGTAGAACAATTTCTCGATCGGCTTCTCCACTAGTCCACTGCTGAGTTACGAGCTAATGTTTAGAGTGACACATATCCAATATATGCGAGACATTCTCAGTCACCAATTAATATACAAACTGCATGTACTGACTATTGATCATTTACACCTTTTTCTTTTCAATCCGATTATAATTTGAAATATAATTTTACTCTTTATAATAATAGATATACAATTTTTGGTAGATATACTGGTAACGGTTCAACATCATTCAGATTGATAGGTGATGGTGTAAATGGAACAAAAAACTTTGTTTAGTTTCATCTTTATTGAGGCAAAAATTATAAATCTCGTAGTGAACTTCAAGTGTATCTAGATTTCCATTGATTTTTCAATTTATTCAATCATATTTCTCTAGTTTGAAATGGTATAAAACATGCTGGTGAAATACATTTTGTTCATAGAAATATTGAAACATTAAAATTAATTGTTTTGGGTTTTTTCTATGGAAAGTATTCCAAACATATCTGCGAGTGGTATTACACATAAAACAACAGCGAGCAATATTTTCGAAACCAATAACTCAACATTAGGAGAATGGTAAAAATACTTTGTAGTATCTGAATATTTACAAGTAATAAATGATGCTACTACAGCTAATTTAAATTTAGTATCATTGATGGGAAATAATGTGGATAGTTTTTGGTGTTATCATGGATCATTAACTACACCTTCTTGTACAGAAGGTGTTATTTGGACCGTATTTAAAGTACCAACTATATTTATGGAAAATGAATTAGCAAGTTTTCGAAGTAATATTTACTTTGAAGATTATCGTAGTCCACAACCATTATATGATCGAACAGTATATCGAAATTTATTGGTTGAGGAAATATTATCAATATCTGATTATACCCGTTGTCTAAAAAGTTCAAGTAATTCATTGAGAAAAATATTTGATCTAACTAACTTACTCATAGAAAGACCAAAATACATTTTATCGTTTATCATTTTTTTTGTACTATATTTTAAATTTTCAAATTTTTTTTATATAAAATAAACCTAATATTTAAAACTCTATTTTTGAAAATGTAAAAATTGTATTGATGAACTCGAAAGTCTTATTATATGTATTAATATTTATGAAATAGTTTCTATTTTTATTGTATTTATATACTATATAACACACATGAAAATAAGAAAATTTTTAACACTAATTAATTACGAAATTCTTGAGCCATATACTCAAGCATTGGTACTAGTTTATCCATTCGTTTTTGTTGTTGTAAATATTTCATATATAATGGATAAAAGTATTGATGATACACTTTTGAAGTAACATTTTGTCTTCCTTGAAGAACAGTAAATAAACTATGACCATTGACTGATTTATCAATAATTGCTTGACCATTGGCTTCATCAATCTCTTTTTGACGCCATCTTAGTCCATTATTAATAGAGTCAATTAATTTATTTTGATTTTCTTTTGTCCAATCTTTATCTGACCAAATACTAAGACCATAAAAATTCACTTTTGGCATTGAGTTTGTAGACAATAATGCACTATCATCAATATGATATGTATCAAATAGTTGTGTACAACGTCCTGTTATAAAATAAAGTGTATATTCTGTCCAGATATGATCAGGTCTATGTGGCGACAGTTCCCAATTAGCCATTTTAGTTAAAAACGTTTCATCACCATACAGTTTTTGTAATCGACATAATGTTCGTAATGAAATTGTGCGTGATAAAATGATTGGTGTTACACCGATTGCTGATGTTTTGGATTTATCATTTGGTACACATGATTCTAATTTACCTTGGATTAATCGTTCACTTTCTATCCACCATTCTTCATGCCCGGATCTATCTTCAGCTTTATAAATAGATTGATATAATGATGAAGCGTTATTTTGATGTAATAATTGTTCAACATGTATTGGCCAT